CCCCAAAACCCCAAAACCCCAAAACCCCAAAACCCCGATAAAAATCAAATAAATTTGGATGCAAATAACTTTTATAAAAATGAACAAACTAGCTCTTGTCGTATTTGTGCTGATGGTAACACTGGTGGTATCTTCAGAAACAGAAGATGCCCATGACTTCTATAAGTATCACTCCTTGATTAAGAAGTATGGAAACTCTCTCGATGAATTCTCTGAGATAGTCACCCAAAACTCGACCGAAGCCAAAGTGAGAAAGTACTGGGAAGACCGCAAGCAGATCATGGCAAAGGATCAGTCTTACAGATTCACCAGAGATGTTCCCACTTTGACTCCAGACGAAGAAATTGTTAATGCCTACCTTGAAACACTGAGGAATGAAGTGATTCATATTGACGATTCTCCATTGCTGTTAGAGTTCTTTGAAGGACAGAAGATCATCAAAGATACAGAGCTTCATGAGTTCTTTAAGAAAATGCCTAAAGGTGGAGAGATGCATGTTCATCTTGAAGGTGCTGTTGCACTTGACACCATGATTAAATTTACTTACAGTGATTATGTATACTTCAATGTTGAAAAGCAGGAGTTCAAAACAGTTCCTAAAGGACTTGATGAAAAAGGATTCTTGAGATGCAATGAACTTCGACAAATATGGGGATCGAACGCAACATTCGATAACTATCTTAGAAAGATCTTTGTCATGCAGCCTGAAGAAATTAGTTCCAAACAGATTCACGAAATCTGGAAACCATTTGAAGGAAAATTCATCTTAAACGATCCTATCATTCACTACTATGAGTTTTATAAACTTGGGCTACTGGACTTCTGAAGACAATCAATCAGAGATGGCATCTACATTGTTGAGATCAGACATGCTTCAGGAAGAATTTTTGACGAGAATAATAAGATCTTATCCCTCAAAGATGAATTTGAGCTGTATAAATCTGCTTTAGAGGAGATTAAACAGGAATATCCAGATTTTCAACTCGCTATAATCGTTGCTGCTCTTAAAAACCAAGGTAAACAACATGTCAGAGACCAACTCGATAGCTATCTCTATGCAATGGATCATGGATATGAGTTTGTTACAGGTTTTGACCTCGTAAATGAGGAGGACAATGTCCAACCTATTCATAATTTTGTTGAAGAAATTATCAAAGCAAAGCAAGGATATCCTGATTTTAAATTCTATTTCCACGCAGGTGAATCCAATAGAAGAAGCAACGAAAATCTCTACGATGCTATTCTTATGGGAACTAAAAGAGTTGGCCATGGATTCAACCTTGCTCTTAAGCCTCATTTAATTGATCTTGTAGTTGAGAGAGATATTGGATATGAAATATGTCCTATTAGTAATTTCATATTGGGTTACACTCAAGACATGAGATGGCACCCAGGAAAACAGCTCATATCTAAAGGAGTTCCTTTGACACTCAACTCAGATTGCTCTGTTTTCTATAATTACGATGGAGTCGCTTTAGATTTCACCTATGCTTTCCTTGCTTGGGAGCTCGATTTGAAAGACATGAAACAGCTTGCTATAAATGCAGTAACTCACAGTTCCATAAAACCTAAGGCTAAATCAATGATGCTGACTAAATTCCACAGAGATTGGAATAAATTCATTTCTTCTGTGGTTGAAAGCCATGGAGATTTATCAAAGATTGTCTAAACTGTTACCCAAACACTTCGTTTCCTTTCTTCAAATTTACAAAAGCTCGTAGTTCGTGGGATTATAGAAATTATTCAATTTGCGCAATTCTTTGGGGTTTTGGGGTTTTGGGGTTTTGGGGTTTTGGGGTTTTGGGG